AGAAACAGGAGAGGCGGTCAAGGCGCTTTTGGGTCAGGAAAAAGATGAGGAGCATACGCAAGCAGATGGAAGTCCCGGCGTGGTAGGAGGAATTCTGCATGGAGTAGAGTCGTTCGCTGGGATGGATGAACCAAATACCTAGTGATGTAGCACTTGTAATAATCTTCCTTTTGTATACGGTTCTTCATGCACTTCATCTGGAGAAAATGATTTCATGCAATGCTGACATCAATGGGAGCATGTCTGAATTGGGAGGAGTACGTGTCTGCTGCGCTTTCTTTGATCATCCCAAGCGCCAAACCCCACTCTCTTACTGGGAGAGCACCTCTTGTCACTGAAACTTGCTCCTCCGAATTATAAGAGTCTGCGAGGATGAATTTGGCGTCAAGGCTTCAAGCTTCAAGCTGGGTGTTGAGGCAAAAAAAAGAAATTAGATTGAGTCCGTCAGCTCACCCACGGCACCGGCGTCGGCTGAATATCCGGCAGTCCCTGGACGGACCAACGAAAACTCGCGCATACACGCGTCGCGATGGCGCCGTATTCGCTCTCAAGTCTTCCCATCGACATATTTGCGACGCATGGCAATATCTCCAGGCACAGCTGTGTAGTCCAGGTCGCACACGGTGATGAGCATGGGGAACCCAGAAATATAAAAGCAGGCCTCCAACTTCCGCATTCCTCCTTAACAGCAACTATCGGAACGACGCAATGGGACTCGTACAGTCACTCTACAGCGAAAGCTATCCGCCGAAGAGTAGGTTCTTCCCAAAAGATATCCCAGATCTGTCTGGGAAAGTCATTATCGTGACAGGCGCCAATGCAGGTACGTTTAGTGGTTCTTTTCTATAATTATTGACGATGCGGTGTTTGATTCTGTGCATCTATCAAGGTATTGGAAAAGAAACGGTCAAGGTAAGCACTATACCACCTAGTAAATTCTATCATACTCTGACACGCTACCTCGAAATAGGCACTCTTAGCGCACAATGCCAAAGTTTACATTGCTGCCCGAAATCCAGAAAAAGTCGCTGAAGCAATCAAAGACTTGGAGAAGGAGACCGGGAAAGAGGCTTTATTCTTGAAAGTCGACTTGTCCGACCTGAAATCAATCAAAGCTGCTGCAGAAGAGTTCAGGAGCAAGGAGAAGGAGCTTCATATTCTCTTTAACAATGCGTACGCAAATCATTCTCAAACGAATTTACGCTCCTATAACATACGTCCACAGCGGTGTCATGGTGCCCCCAATTGACCAATTAACGGCACAAGGTTACGATCTTCAATTCGGGACGAACGTACTAGGCCATTTCTACCTCACCAAGCTCCTCCTTCCTACCCTTCTCGCGGGTGCCAAATCCAGCCCCGACGGCAAAGCGCGCATTGTCAATACCTCATCATCCGCGTCCGTGTTCGCCAGCAAAATCGATTTCAACACCCTCGGGGACACGGCTGCACGGAAGAAAAAAGGACAATCGATGCTTTATTGCCAAAGTAAATTAGTATGCATTTCGTGTTCTTTGTCGATTGCTTGTGCTGGGCGCTTATCGGGAGCGACTGTAGGGCAACGTCCTGGTGTCAGCCGAGCTCGCACGGAGATATGGTGACCAAGGGATTGTGTCGACCTCTCTCAACCCGGGCAATATCCAAACCGACCTTCAACGCCATCTAGGAAAAGTGCAGGGTTTTTTTGTGGTACGTCTGTCACGCATATATTCACATTCAGAACGAAACTTATAAGAGCCATTTCCAGCGCTTGACCCTCTGGGATACATCATATGGTGCTCTCACGCAATTGTGGGCTGGTACATCGTCTGAGGGCGCCGATTTGAATGGCAAAGTATGTTACTGTTTTTCTACCGTTCCATACTTTCTCTAATTGTGTACGCTTTGCAGTATTTAATTCCTTGGGCGCGAATTGGTACTGCAAATAAAGTTTCTAAAGATATCAAACTGTCCGGAGATCTATGGACGTGGCTGGAAGAGCAAACGGACAGGATTTAGTTGTTGAAAGCTCGCTCGGACAGTAATGTCTTTGGTATACGTATATCACATCGATTAGAATAATTTGATATTTTTTCCTCTTCGCTGGATGCTGTTAATGCCCTCTATACTTTACAATCTAACTCCCGTTGTCGAACACATACGACCCTTCGCAGTCGACCACCCTCTGATTGGTAAACCTCTTGAAGATAATTAGCTCTACCTTTGTAAATTGTCCCCGAATTTGTCTTCTCATTAGAGTTGAATAGAAACTGATGTTGACATCCGCTCTCTCGAGTTGTGGAAATTTGTCTGCGAATCTAGAAGTGCAAGAAGCATAGAATCTAATGCACCTGGACCGCTTTGAGTGGTGCGACTCCTGCAAAAACAAATGTTTGAGTTCATTTGCTTTGAAAGCTTGGAGACGCCACAGATCATCTGGCAGTGAAAATGTGGAACGTTGGATTCCGACAACCATGACACCGTGGGATCTTGTCCTCTTCCGATATCGCGTTTCTTGTACCTTGACACACATCTCTCATGTTGATTTCCTGTGTTCTTTGGCTTTTTTGTTCAAGACTTTAATTCAGTTCGGCTCCCTTCACTTCTGGATATAAACTCTTTCGAAAGTCCCACTCGACTGATCACTGCTCATATTCTCTTACAAATGGTCTGCTTTAAGTTTGAAACTCATTGGGTCTCACTCCGTTCTAGATTTCCATCTACAGTCATTTTTAACAGCTTTTCTGGATCGTGCCGCTGCTGGTGGTCAAACGCGGATGAAAAATGATATCCTCTGGCCGGGCAACATTTATTGCTTGATAGTCCTTTTGTTTGATCGGTATCCCTTCAGCTGTGCTTGAGCCTCTTTGCTTGCACTTTGCTTGGGGTGTGTCCATATCCAGAGATTAAGCGCTCATTCCGCAAGTCATCACGAGTGGCACTCTCAGCCACAGTGGCCGTGAGTGGCATATAAGAAAAGCGACTTCTTCAACTGTGCGCGCACACTGCATCCTCATATTCTAACTATAATGGACGACTCGTCGATATCTATCAACTCTCTACCAGATGAACTTCTAGTACAAATCCACGAGGCTGCAATAGAACCCAAAAAGTGTGTCTACCCGCTAGAATTTCCGGACTATGCGACCTTCTCGAGCATATCCCGTGTCTGCAAAAGATGGCGTCAAGTAATCCTAGACAATGGTCCTCTCTGGGCAGCCTCTATCAATGTGGACCGCGATACTGTCACTTGGGCCCAAGAAGTTCTCCATCGCGCAAAGGACTCGCCGCTTTTCATCCACTCGCAAATGCCATATGCCGATTCCCCTGATGATGACGAGAAAAACAAATACACGCATGTGCAGAATTTTGCATCGGCGACGTGGCAATTTGTACTTAAAAACTCGCACAGATGGGCAGTTTTCGACCTTGGGGCAGATATCTTTAGCCATTCAGCAGACGCGCTCACAAAGGGGCTAATGCAACCTGCCCCCGAGCTGCGAAAGTTCACGGTCACAAATAAACATAATCCTGGGGATTACATGTTGGAGTTTCCCTCCGAGTCGTTTGAAGACACTTTCCGCCATCACCAATATGTGCTCCCTGAAAAACTCTTTGGCGGCTATTCGCCACAGTTGGAAGCGGTCAGTATATCCAAGGTCTACCTACCAGCCTCTTTCGACTTCTCGCTCTGGAGTAATCTCGCAATCTTGTTCGTGGAGCAAAAAATGGACACTTGCCCAGTGTATCTTACGCAAAATTGGTTTGAAATTCTTCGGTCACTGACCCAGCTAGAACAACTCAGACTCGTTGGAACATTCAATGCCGCAGATGAAGAACTTCCTGATTCTAGCTTCTTCCGCATTCCTGATATTCATCTGGATCGCCTTTTCGACCTTTCTTTGAGCACAGGCTCCGAGAAACATATTATGTTCGACCTTTTTGCGAAACTCGTCGTCCCTCATACCTGCAAAATCGTTGTCGAGATCCAATTCTCAGACTTTTATGATGACCTTGACGGTTGGGAGCCTTATCCCTCTCTTGCGTTCAGCAGGCTACAGCTCGGCATTAATCGACATTTTGGAGAGCTATTTGCAGACTTGGACGATCCTGCTGATATGCTAGAAGTGAATCTGTGGAACAAAAGCGCAGAAGGAACATCCTTTGGCTTCGAAATAAATGATACCACTCATCGAAGTGGCGACTTTGTGTTCCTCCAGTTTATTGAAGGGGAGCGACCACCGAAGGCACCAATGCCCATTTCCAGGGCCGAAAAGGAGACTTTGGAATCCGTCAAATCCTCTGGGTATTCTCATTATCCCTTCTCCAATATGCTGGCGGTTCTCGAGGATTTGCCATTAAAAACGATTAAGATTGCGGTATTGCCGCAAATTGTAGCTGAGGATATCGATCCTCTACACCGCCTTTTGTCACGATGCGACAATCTCGAAACCCTCTTGTGTGTGGATACCGATTCCATCATTTTTGACATCTTGCAAAGGAAAAAATCTAGCGAAGATGGCGTTATACTTCCTAAACTGGATTACATTCATTTTTTGCCCCTTTGCTTGCAAGACTTTCAACGTATGAAAGGATGGGGTATGTGGCGCTCTAGAGAGACTGGGAAGCCGGCAGATTTGTGTATCGATGTGCCAGATGATCAATTCATGTCGACTACAGAGGCGCTCATATATCGTTGGTGGAAGAAGAAAGAGGATTTACGCAAATGTATAGATCGCCTTGCATTACACTTTGAAAAAAACTCGTGAATTGCCTCTCTACTGTATAACTCACCCTACTTATAGCTTAATTAGACGAACAGATTTGTTGATTTGTTGCAGAACTTAGCGGACTCTGAAGACAACTCTTTCTTTCAGTATGTACATTGTATACACAACATAAGCCTCTTTTCGGAAATAGCGCGATCTTTCCACGTAAAATATGCATCAGTGAAAAAGATATGGGCCCGTAACAGTTCAGCAGTTCAATGGTGTTAAAAGCTGTTGGAAAGAATCAAAAAGTGGACACTGCGAGAATTGAACTCGCGACCTCACGCAGTCATCTTGAAGATGCGAAGCGTGCGCGCTACCCCTGTACCAAGAGCCCATATGTTTATTTCTATTTTTTTTTAAATAAATCCCTACAAATAGGCGAAACTTTTCATCGGCCGCTTTTTTCCAACCGATTTCTTTTTCCGAAGAGCCAAATCTTCCTTCATCAATGACTGCGACTTCCCACAGCGATTCGAACCTTAACAGAGCAAAGCTTACTTTTCCTTTATGACGAACAGAAATGTAAAGGCCGCAAGGTAAGTGTGAATCAATCTCTCCCTGCATCTGGTTTCAATAAACGAGCCGTCTTCCATTATTCTTTCAGGATGTCTGTATCGTTCGAGCTGCCAACGGCGCGTTCAGGGCGTCTAGGCTATGCAACTGTCAGGAGAATACCTCCTGAGTACCTTTCCTGCCCTTTCGTTCATCGCAAAAGCTTTGTTCCGCGTCTGATAGTGCTTGATCGAAGCGCATGTGTAAACAAGAACCTGAACTAGCCGGACTGGCACCCTCATACCCCAACAATCGCTCAGAATGGGCTTCAAAAACTTCACATCCGATTTCTTCTAGTCTGGCTGACCGGAAATGGGCTGGATAATGACAGACATTGGACATGCAGTGGAAGCAAGCGCCTGCCATGGCTCTACGTCAGCGCGGATATAACGAGAAGTCGACTGGATTCAAGATGCTTTTGCCTATCAAAATCTAGAGAGCTAGCTGTACAAAGACTCGCAAGATCAACTGCTAAGACACGATGTAATGTTGGATGTATATTTTCCAAGGATCGTATGAACGGAAGGATGAAAGGGAAGGGCGGCTGCGACAGCGACAGCGACGCGCCGGAATTGACGCGCCTGTCTCCCTGTTTATGGAAAATCTGTAGCCAAAATCGGACGACAGAATGCCCTCCCGAGGTCGCCGGCGGACGGGTTTCTGCGCATTTCGACCAAAACTCCGCTCCACCGCCAGATAGAAAGTATATAAGGCGCGCTCTTCTGTTTCTGCGCCTCTTGGTTCTTGACCGCGTCCTTCTCCAAACTGCCAGTTATACGCGGCGAGCAATGCGTCTCCCGCTTTACACGCTCTTTCTCTCCTTCTCTACCCTCTTCTCGCTTGTGCACTCCATCCACCCCTATGCCCTCAGCCGTCATGACCACAGGCAGTCCCCTCCGCCGAACGCACTGACCTCGCGCCAGCATCGCGTCGCTCGCGATCTTCTGGATATATGCATTAACGCCAACGTCGACCTCGCTGCTGATCTCTCTCATCTGCTTGGTTCCGTGCTTGACCCAACCAATGCCGCAGCCAACATTCAGCTTTGTCTATGCTTAAAGGTCGGTTTGTGGCTTCCAATATGCGCATATATTCACTAAGCTCGCTGGATTCTAGGATCTGAACCTCTATCTCGAGACGAATGATGATATTCAAGCTCTGGTATCACTTCTCGGTAAAGACGCGGTCGCTGCTCTCATTACTGCCCTTGTAAGTACATGTTTCGTCAACTTGGCGAAAGGATGTGTCCTAACTACTTTTCTCTAGATCAACACCTCGCCAGACTCCAGGCAGTGTACCTTCCCATCACATGCGCACCATACGTGCAATAATTCGGATCCCTGCCACTACGAATGTGATGCCAACTACGTTCTCGAAGGTGATCAGTGTGTGTGCGCCCCACCGAACATCTCCTGCAACGGCGTTTGCGGAAGTTTCCCTCAAGTAAGTGCTGTTGAATGCGCATATATCCACCCATATCGCTGTTTCACTCCATTTTTATGACATGCTGATCAATGACGCAGGGTTGTGGTTCGTCGGCTCCTCTCAAAAGAAGGACAGAGCCTATCCGTACTCTCGCACAGGCCAAAGCCACCTGTAAGCCCCACGAAACCGTTTGCGGCATTCCTGGAGTCCGTGGCTTTGCTTTCGAGTGCATCGACGTCAGCAGAACCAAGGATAGCTGTAAGTTGTTACGCATGTATTTGAAGCTTTCATTTTGACTCGCTGTCATAGGTGGCGGTTGTGTTGTCCCTCATCCGTTCCCCGACTCTGAACGAGATATTCAACCTCTCGGGAAAGATTGCGGCAACATTCCAAACGTGCGAAGTGTTACATGCTCCGCAAGCCAGTGCGTTGTACAGTCCTGCCAGGATGGATGGCTTCCCAGGACTACCAAGGATAAATGCGTCGCTTCTAATGGCCCAGAAATGTATCACTTAAGGTCGCGCGCCCTTCCGCAGGCCGTGAATGCCACTGCGAACACCAATATCGACTCCGGTCTTGTGTCGCAATTGGTCGCTATTGTGGACAACGTACTTGGCCTTGGAGTTCCTCCTCAAGCGGCTGCGCCTTCTTCAACCGTTTCATCACCATCTTCGTCCTCCACATTTTCTACAACATCAGCGATATACTCTCTTTTTGACGACGTCAGACGTGCCACCAGCAATTTGCTCGTGTCGTCCACAGTTTCCGAATTCCTAGTCAACACGCAGAAACTCGTCGATACTACTGCTCTCCTAAATTCCATGTTGGATGGTTGTGGATGCGCCCAGAAGTTGGGGCTCGCTGATTCCTCCGGCCTCTTGTCTAACCTCATCACTTCACTATCGTCCATGCAAAACTGGTGTGCGCATAACCCCATCGTTCCCGGCTCCAATGTGCCAAGCTCGGGCGCCTCAAATCAGCCGATCGTTATTGGACTCACCGATCTATTGTCCGGACTGGGATTAGATGGAAAGTCGGGAGCTGCTGTTGGTGGTCTCGGTGATGGATTAAGTGGAAGCGCCAATCATCTGCTCAACAGCGTCGATCTGGGACCCAATAATTACAAGCGAAGTGACCTTGCAGATGTCAATGCCAATTCAACAATCGACTCAACTCTTTTAGCGAATATCATCGCTCTGGTTGACATCGTTATTGATCTTCGTTCGGAAGCTGCAACTCTTCCAATTTCGTCTGCGACCAGCATTTTGCCCCAGCCTTCCGATCCGACCTCTACTCTTACCGTCAATGGCCTCGTCAACTCAATCCTCGTTGCGTTAGGGAACATCCTTAATTCCTCTACATCCTCTTCATTGGTCTCTGCGGTCGATGGCCTCGTCCAGACAGTAGAAGGCGCCAATACGTTGCTCGATCAAAGTGGGTGCGTGGATACATTAGGCCTTGGCCCCTTGGTCGCGGATCTCGAACAAATTATTACCGCGGCTTTGGGTGTCCAGAAGTTCTGTCATGGACACCCTATCGTATCTTCTCCACCATCGACTTCTTCGCCAGCATCTTCGCCTCCGACCCCATCACACTCTACTTCCCTTCCTACTTCATCGACTCCAGCCAATATCGCCGATAATCCAATCGTTGTGGGGTTGTCGGACCTGCTTACCAGTCTTGGACTTCTGGGTCCTGTAAAAGCAGTTGTAACCGTCGCCGGTTTGGGATCAGGGCTGAACCAACCTGTCGATAGTTTGTTGAACGGATTGGGTATTGGACCTGCAAACGCCAGACGCGGTACGGACGCCTCCACAATCAATTTAGAGCTCCGAAGTCTTTTGGAAGGACTCGCCGATTTGGTCATCAATTTGGAATTTTCGATGAGCTCGCTTCCTGTTGCAAATTCGGACTCTTCCTCGAGCTCCTTGAACGCTAATTCGGTGTTGGGTGTCGCTCATGCTCTGGGGCAGCTCTTGCAGTCGAAGACGGTCGCAACCCTCCTTGTTAACATTGACACCTTCATCGACGCCGAAAATGATTTGGAGAGGAGGTTCACGGGCTGCGCCTGCGTGGAGGAGCTTCATTTGGAAAAAGCGTCAGATCTTTTGCAACTTATTGGCGAAGCGGCTATTGGCTTGAAAGACTGGTGTGCAACGCATTCGCTCGTTACTCCAACCCCTGCGGACCCGACCCCGACCCTTGGTCCCCTCCTGCCAACCGGTGTGTTTTTCTTTGCTTTTTGCTGCGATGAAAAGCTAAATATGTATTCTCCTATGTCGTAGGTGGTGGACCAATGGCTAAGCCATCCGAGTCTGCTGCTATTCCTAATATCGCGATCCCGACCGCGCACCCCGCGTCTTCCCCGAATCCCTCTGCATCCACTCCGTCTACGGCTACAGGAGACATTCCGATCATCATTGGTCTTGACCATCTCCTTCAAGCTCTAAATCTGGGTACAGGGATCGTGGCTGTAGATGGCCTTGGCAATGGATTGGATTCTACCGTCAACACCATAACGAATGGTCTCGGAATCGGGCCCGACGGTCTTCGTCGTCGACGCCGTACAACCAGGCGGATGTGGGCGAAGCGTCAAGACTTGATGAAGGAACGAGAGGAGAGACGTCAAATAAATTTAAATGCGAATACCACTGTCGACTCGGATCTGCTTGTTCAACTCGTCGCGCTTATCGATTCGGTCCTCGGACTCAACAATGCTGTATCGTCGTTGTTACCCGCTCCATCTTCCCCTTCACCTCCGATGCCATCTCCCATAGCGAATCCACCTCTTGCTCCATCCGCCCCCTTGTTGGGTTCGCTATTGCCCATTGACTCTGGCATCGTTGGTAACATTCTCAACGCCGTCACTACCCTTCTATCTTGTGGCACATACGACGAGTTAGTTTCCAATGTTGACGACCTTGTCCTGGCGAGCAACCAAACCCTGGCGGCGTTGGAAGGGTGTGGATGCATTGGAGATTTAGGATTGGGTGGGTTGGTTGCACAAGTACTGCATGTTGTGGATGCCGCGCTGGGCTTGCAGAACTATTGTCATGCGCACACAGCACCACCCTATGGATCTCCACCATTTCCCGGACCACCGTCTATTCCTGTTCCGACTCCTACTTCTTCGTCAACAACTTCCTCAAACGGCACGGTCATTGCAGGTGGTGACGAACCTCTTGTTGTGGGCTTGACGAAATTGCTAAATAGCCTCGGACTTGATATCAAGGCTGATGTCATCACTGATTTGCTTGGGACCAACCTTGATCATACGCTCAACACGCTACTCAATGGCTTGGGCATTGGACCCAATGGAGCAAGGAGACGATCTGCTAAACGTGTGGATATGTCGTA